TTATTTCTCCTAATTATCCATTACTTCAATTCCATTCTTGTTGATTCAGCCAGCTCTGCAACTGTTATAAAGCAAGTGCTTTATATTCATGTTTGATATCACCATTCTGGAAAGTTATCCTAAAACAGAAGTTTGGAGTAATTAACAACTAGTGTTCTAAGGTAAAATAAGAACCAGGCATAAAGAGATAAGCCGTGTCGAGAATAAATACAATTTTCTGCTCAACAGTTTTAAATTTGAAGACGAGAGGGTATGCCAGAGAAGGCTGGGCTTAGAAAACAAAAATCAGAAAGCCACTTGAAGAAGTAGTATTCGTTACTATCTGAAATGCTAAGGCTGAATTTATATAGTGACTTATGAAAAATGAAACAAATGAGATGAAAATTCACCTTTAACAAAATAGAAATCAAGTTATTTTTGAATTATAATTTTTGCCAGACCAACTGGTTAGTATTGTTTCTACAGGTTATTAGATTATGCACCCCTTCATGTTTTACTCAGTTATGCTTATCCTATGTATTTGTGCCTGAAGTATCCACTTTATGGAATTATCTAGAAACTGGATAGTTCAACTTTTTTTTGGTTTAGCCAACAGAAATCTGTTTTAAATCCGAATCTGTCTTATTCCCTCAGAAATTCACTGGGCTGGATTTCCCACACTTTTTTGAAGCGCTTCTCCTGGAATTAGAATTACCATTAATTGTCCTTGCCAGACAATTTGACAGAACAAGGTGGGTTCAAATGGAAGATGTTTGCACAAGTAGGCATGACGTCCATTCAATGTTTCTAGTATTACTAAGAGCAGATGCCATCCTTGTTCCTGGCTCTTTGATACGCACATTTGGTTCTTTATTTGAGAAGGTGAGCTGGGTCAGGTAGAGCATTCTAGAGGTGGGGATGCAATGGCAATCACAGGCTGTGCTTGCTGTAGTCTGGAGATGGCTGCCTTCTCTCCCCATTCCTCCTTCACTCCACCTTTGACAGCTTCCCTCAGCCAGAAGTTCAGAAAATAATATTTCTGATTAATTTCTCCAACAGCTACACTTCTGTGATTCTAGGGTGGGGAACGTCTCTTAAGAGACCTTCCCCGGATTCCCTGTGTCTTTTCTTTCCTCCCAGCAGATTGGATTATACGATAAAAAGAGCTGTGAATAAGCTTCATGGATTGTGCCACTGGGTGCTTTAGAGGACTCTCTTTCATGCTTCAGGTACTAGTTTCCTCTGTCCTTGAGGTATATATTTGTCATATGGACACTTCCTTTTTTTCAGTTTTCCATTTTTCTTTTTTTTTTTAACTGTAGATTGAGTATTTCTGTGATTGGGGTTATAGATTGACCCAATTGACCTATATAGCCAATAACCAATTGGTTATTGGTTATATAGATTGACCCCTTCCTGACACCTTACACTAAAATTAACTCCAGATGGATTAAAGACTTAAACATAAGACCTAACACCATAAAAACTCTAGAAGAAAATCTAGGCAAAACCATTCAGGACATAGGCATAGGCAAGGACTTCATGACCAAAACACCAAAAGCATTGGCAACAAAAGCCAAAATAGACAAATGGGACCTAATCAAACTCCACAGCTTCTGCATGGCAAAAGAAATGGTCATTTAGAGTGAATCGGCAACCAACAGAATGGGAAAAAATTTTTGTAGTTTACCCATCTGACAAAGGGCTGATATCCAGAATTTACAAAGAACTAAAACAGGTTTACAAGAAAAAAACATTTTTATTGCTTCTAATGTGAATTGCATTTCTGTTCTTATTTTATAACTCTCCTCCATCTATTTTTTGAGCTCTGACAGATTACTTTTAAACTCCTTCTGTTTTCTTATCTCTTTTTTGAATATTGGAATTCTTTCTGTTTTGAATTTAGAAAACCATATTTCCCTTAACATCTTTGGTTTCCTGGAGAAACACTTGGTATACTTTTATACCAACTCTTGGTCATGGTAACATTTTACGCAGCCTGGCTGGAAGTCAATGGTTTACAGGGATGCTTCCAGTGTCCTGGTGTGTGTGTAATAATTTAGAATTCTCTTCCACTGGTTGTCAAAACTTTAAACCCTCAGTATGTCAAGCTGATAGTCTTTCGTTAGCAGTAATGGCATGGTGGGCTTCATGTATTACGCTATTCTGATTTTAAGCAGAACTCAACTATGCTTCAGCAGCCCTTTTCACTGACACAGACCACGTCGTACTAAGGAAGTATCACTGGGTTGTCTCCACAGAAAGCTCAGGTTACTCTTGAAGATTCTGGGTGTTTATGAAAGCTGATAACATATAATGCCATTCTAAGCTTCCTCCTTAACTTATGTCTAATTTCACCACATTAGCCCAATTTCTATATCAACCGTGGTTTGGGACTTTGACTGTTTCCTGCTGTCATAAAAGAAGAGAGTTTTGTGTTTTTCGTTCTGACTGATTTTGGTCTTTTGGAAAGCGGAAAGCAGGGCACATCTATCATCGTTAACTTAAACATTTTAGCAGTAATTCTGCTAAAATTATTTTTGTCTGTGATCTGCTTCCCCAGATTCTTAGGTTTATTCAGTTAAACTTATGCAGTTATTACAATATAATTTTTAGCCATATTAAATTATTTTTATTCTCCTACATGATAAAATTGTTTCTGGATTGGACAGAAGCTAAAACATTTTAAATCTGATCACTAAGGTCTTGATCTGTGGCCCTGTGGTTTGGTGATGTCATTGATTCACTCTTCACTTTACTGGCTTCACTGATATCATGGGATCATATCTGAGCAGGACACAAGTCAAAATACCTGATTTTTGGCTCTTCTTCACTAGGACTTTCTTGATCACACACTATAATTCATATATAATAGGAATATTAACAAAAAATTTATTTAACATAAAGTTTATCCTATACTGTAATAAGTCAGAACATATATGCAACGATTGATTTATTGAAAGTTATATATGGTATTTCTAATGGGACATAAGTTCCTGCCAAATAAGCTCTGCATTTTTAATATGTTAGTTTAATTCAAATAACTGAATTCTCATTATGAGTTATTCACTCAAATAACTCCTAATCCCCACTCCCAAAGTGCTGGGATTATAGGCGTGAGCCTCCGCACCCAGCCCAGATATATCTTTCTTATAACATAATGTCACCCCTTTGTGATCCCTTTAGTAGTTAACTACCTTTTACAGTTAAGAATACTTTATATGACAAGTTGCTAGTCAAGAGAATTAGGCTCTATGCAATGGTACTACTATCCTAATTACACTTTTAATTGAGTAGTCAACATTAAATTAAATGTCTACAGCATGCTAACTCAGTGACAGCAGGAGACAACTCAACTTGCCTTGGAGGCTCGTTCAATTATTTGATGTGAGCCAAGTAACTAACATAACTGTAATATACTTCGGGAAAAGGGATAAGGAAATCACCTGAATAAGGATAGTCAGAAAAAAACTAAACAGGAATTCAATTAAAAATATGCATGATACTGAATCAGAGGCGCGCACACACACACACACACACACACACATTTAAGGAGTTGAAGGAATCCTAGAGAATAAAGGCAGAACAAACAACTTTCATTCAAGGCCACAGGACCAGAAGTAGAATAGAAAAAGAGCAAATTACTGTACAGCTGAAATAAAATGCAATCGTACCAATACAAAGAGAAGAGAGAGTAGCAAAAATTCTAAAAACAGTAACCAGAACTCTATGATGGGAGAAAGTTATTGTCTTAGACCAATCAATTTTTGTTTATCTATCATTTGAAACCAAAACACTTTAAACCAGATTTCAAAATCTATACATAGCAAAATCAGTAGATAAGAATAGGTAAAAAAAAAAAATAGGGTGAGAAAAAAGATAAAGCTAAATAAAGCTAAAGATATGTTAATAAACAACAGGCATGCCACACAGTCCTATTTAGGTTCTTAACAGAAGTAAACATGCAAATGCTGCCTGTTACAAGATTTCCAGAGGCCATAGGAAAAACAATCCAGCTGTTCGCCAAAAGCAGAGAGGTTGAAACTTCAGGGAAATTTATCATATGTTTTCAATCAAGAGAAAAGACTTATAGAGTTGATGACACTTTCAATGCTATTTCTACAATCAATCTGATAGACAATTCTTACTGATATTTCTATAAATTCTTTCAGTTCAATCCAAACCATAACTGCATAAATATTTCTGAAAAAGCAGTTATGCAAATATCCAGATAAGCCACTCCCAGATGTTCTGGTTTATCCAAGAGCAACATTTAAAATACCCAGAGAACATCATGTCTTTCAGATAATCCTCAATGAAAATTATTTTCACAACATGTAAATCACACACGAGGTAGTTTTTCATAATGTAGTCATTATGCACCCAGGTAATTTGTCAATTAATTTCTGTATAGAAAATGAAGCTTATTAGTTACATGTTTCCTGAATGAGGCTACTCATGATCCAATACCCTCTACTTACCTTATTTTCGGCTGGTTGCTGTTTTCTTCTCTGAAGGGAATAATTCCATTATATACAATGTGCAAGAAAATTATTCTTAGGTATAGCTCCCTGGCTTGTTGTTTAGAGCAGATTTGTTTATAGGGTAATTCTGAAAATGCTGTTAACTTGCAAAGGTTATGTCTTTTTCTATTAACTGACTAAAATAAGTGTCTGAATTTAAAATCCCAATACTCCAGCCTCTAAGCAAATTTTTTTTTTCTATTATAGAGAAACAGCACTGTCTACTCATAGAGAAGAAGCAGTATCTTTTCATGAAGAATCGCTCCTGCTCCAGACTTTGAAAGGAAAATCAAAATAACTTAAGTAGTACACGGCCTAAACATGGGCACAATAGAAACAACACCGAGAAACTCGCACAAGCTCAGAAGCCTTACATTTGGGGGTGGCTAATCCTGGGTTGTGCCTGTATGTAATCTAGAAGTTATTAAATAGTACAGGATGTCTTTGGTACTCATGATCTTGACAGGCCTGTGTAGTTAACAGAAATTAAAACGTTACCTCAAATCAGCAGCTTTCCCCGTCTTGTTAATACACATAACCTCTCTGGTCTGATATCCAATCTGGATGTCCCAATATTTATTCTCTTGTCTGTTCTGTCTGTTTCTGTTTCTCTTTTTCTTAATAAGTTCGCGGGCTTCTGGATCCTTTACTCCTTTGCTGCGGTCCTTTTCCCGTTCTTTATTCTTCCCGCGTCTCCTTGCTTGTCTTACTTGTCGGGAGTGGGGCATTGAGCAGGTGCTCCAGGGCCCCACATGCAGGCTGTACATGAGCTCTTCGGCCTCGCAGGGGCTGGACTGGCACACCTGGAACTCCGTCAAGTTTGGGCAACCAGAGCCTCCGAACTGCGGGGGCGCCACCACGTGACGCGTCCGGTGCTGGAGGCCGCTGCCGCAGGTCTTGGAGCATTCGGACCAGGCCGAAAACTCAGACACAATGCAATCTTGCTGGCAAGGAATGAGGCAAGCCTGCTCCAGGAGAGGCTTGGGTTCAAAGTACTCACAGATGATATCCTCCGCAGGAATATCTTTGTCTTTCTGGATGCACACTATCTCCCGCACCTGAATACCTTCTTCCCCCTTAATGCATTCAAGAGGTTTCTCTAGGCTTTTTGAAATCACAGGCTGACACTGATTCCAGGGTCCCAGCCTCCAGTCATACAATTCCTTATGCCAGTCGCAAACTTTGAAACAATTCTGCTGGTTATTGGGTCTCTCGGCCTGCTTACAGTTAGTATGTAGCGTCGTCCATCCCTCCACATGAGCGCACCACACAGCCCTCGTTTGGATGCCTCCTGGACCACATTCATCTCCCATGCATCGGCCCCATGGACCTGCAAAAATTGCAACACAAAAATTAGCTGTGCTACTAGAAGAAAACTACCCGTTACTTCACATTCCAGAAAGACCTTTCAAGACCTAGCACATTAACTTCCCTAAGGTCTTATAAAGTAGGTCTCTGTACACAACTGTTGGAAAGTGATGATCTGCATTAAGAATTTCTGCAAAAGGGGAGCTGTGTCACAGAGTCTATATAAGGTAACTGCTGGGACAAGTTCTCTTTGGGTCCTTTTGGGATTACTAAAAGTTTGGTTTAGTTCATTTCCTTTATTTTAGGTAGTTAGAAATCCTTGCTGATAAAGGACATCAGAAATTAGTCACAGGGAAAACTCATTACTCCTGCCTCACAAGCATCAAATCGATTTCAGCAACGGGCAAAGAAAATGGCCCCATGTGAAGAGCTTCTTGCAGGCATTTCCCTTCCTGGACAATTAACTATTTTGTGAAACTTGCTCTGATCTACATCATTTTTTATTTTCGTAGACTATGACTGCAAGGATCTAATAGTTGTGTATTATGCGTGCTAGCAGACCTTAAAGTGTTCACTTTCTGGCTACCAAAGCTAGGAAGCAAAAATCTTCATTTAGGTGCGTAAATGTGCCTTTAAATTTACCAAATTTATTTTTTTCCTATTTCCCCAGTGAAATGTAGAGCTGGGTAAGGGAATTTAAATTTAACTAAAATATTTTTGCAATTTTCTAATCATTGAGTGGTTACTTGGGGTCTTATTTATTTACTCATTTCTTAAACATGAAGTATTTGGTGTTATAGAGCTGTTTTATGGAATACTTATATCAGTGGCTTTAATATGAAATCTGTTTTTTTTTTCTGTGAAATCCTTCTTAGAATAGATTTAAACCTTATATTTGCAAATATTATTTTTTTCTAAGGTAGATGCTATGATTTTCAGTGCTTTAACAGGCCCCAATTTATGAAATTGAGAATTGTATTATTTTGGAATCATAAAGAAACTTAAAAATCATATGATTACATGATTTTCAAAAAGTATTCCACAAATTTGAGAACTTCTTTGATGTGCCTTAGAGCCATTTTCTATCTGTTGCGTGGGAAGCTGAGGACCAACACGTGGGGTGAGCTCTAGTGCCCCTCACACCTTTACACTGGTGCGTGCCATCCTCCTTCATTGCTGCTTTTATAAGAAAAACTCTATTTGTAGTATTCAGTTTTATTCACGTGGGGATTATGCATAAGATTATGTCTGCAAGAGATTTCTACTGTGGAAAAGTGTAACCCACTAAAGTAGGTCAATGGATTCATTCTATGGATGAGAAAACAGGAAACAAGAAGGAAAAGTAATTTGCCAAGTTTAAATATTTAATGAATAACAAAGCCATTCTGTATTTCAGATTACAGTTCCAACTTTTAGTCATATGATTTATCTTGGATATTAGAGTTGTAGCCTCAGCTTCTTCTGTACAAAACAACTCTTAGTATACAAATAAAAAAAAATAAAGAATGTACGTATTATAGTTAATCTAAACGTTTAATTTTGTTTAATATGAAAGATGTTTAAAATTCGTTGAGAGTTTCCTTGCAAATGTCATTATGAAGTTGTAAATAGAATAGAGACTTGCTGTAAATATTGTTCTAACTAATCATTATTGCATGAAAGTAAATATTAGATACTTGGCATACCCGTATCATTCCTTTATGAAGTTTGTATACAGAGAATTATAAGGATGTAAAATACTCATGCTTATAAGGGATGTAACATACTTACAAGGGATACAAAATACTCAAGGATATTGGGGAACAGTCTCCTTGAAGTGTAAATACTGAAACTTTATGGGCTTAGAAAGCCAGCGGGTTTGCTGCATCTGTCAAAATGCAATCCACCTAATAATACTTTAATCTTATTTTTAATTTGTTGAAAAATATATGTTCACAAATCTGGTGATTCTTTCTTAAAGACTTTCTAAATACTCAGAAGCTAGGACACTTCTTAATAAGAGAACCTAGTAATATGTATAAAATTTTAGAATTAATTCCACACATCCTTAGCATTTATTCCCCATCCTCGCTGTGCTTGAACAAAACATTGGTCCTTATTTTCCATCTGAAGACAGCATATAAAAACATATTTATATCAGACTCTCAAATTAGGAGTAAACTATCTGCCATTAAGTCTGAATTTGAAAATATAAGCGTCTTGTACTAGCTCAAACTCTAAATCCCAGATGTAATGTAGTTGAACTTCCTGATATATTATTGTTTTCTAATTTTTGAAATTAATTATGAAGTTAGACTGATTAATCAGATTGTGGTTACTAAGAAAAAAATTATTCTTTTATCTTCAAAGTGTAAATAAATGATTTTTTATAATGGACTTATGAGTTGTCACTTAAAAAACATAACTGTACATTTTTGGGAAGGTTTCATTATTACTAATAGATATGATTTACTAATTAATGTAAATTAATGTTTTATTACAGAAATCTGAGTATATAAAATGTGAACTGACTTCAAGTCTGTATGTAATTGCTAAGAAAAACAAACATGCTCAAAATAACTTTTTTTTCCTAAAACAACTGTGAAACAGAACTATGCTACACTAGTCAACTCTTAAGTCTGAAAATTACCCTTGACAAGATAAGGACTGGTGAAGATGTTAAACTTTTACAAACCAAAATTTAGTAAAAAAATCTGGCTTCTAAGTTCATTCTAAAATAAAAGTAGAAGATGGTTGCTTTGAAAATGATTCATAGTTTACTTACATCAAGTTATGGAGAGCTCCCTTTTTACACACTTCCAGAGCACCATGTGTGTTTCTCACATAATGTTTAAATGTTAGTCATACTTTAAGGTAGTATAATTAGTAATGTTTATCAAATATTTAATATCTGTTTATCACATTAGACTGACTCTATATATGGCCCCTTGAGGACAGGCCGTTGCCTACCCTCTGCAACAAATGTAGACAGAACACGTAGAACAATTTCAATAATATTTTTGAATGAATGAATAAAATCAGAAACCAAATCAAGAAAATAATTCCAATTAATTTATGATTCAACAGATGCCATTTGAACAATTAATTGTGGATAAAGACAAAATGTGCTTTTCCTTTAAGCCTTTCCAATATATTATTATCTAGAGATTTTTGATTTTTATCTAATTATTGAAAACACAAGCAGATACTAGTGACATAACTTAAAAATACAGATCTATATTTAATTACAGTCAGAACCACAGTGTAATCTTGAGAACCTCTAATTTTTCCATTACCCATTGTAGTAATAGCTAAATATACACAATGTTTTTCCGAAATTATCATTGTCTTAGAGGCAGATTTCAGATGATCATGGGTGTCAACTACAGTATTTCTTACTAGACTATTCTCTTGCCTTCAGAGCTAGCTAAAAGCACATATTTCTGCAATGATTTTCAGCTACATCTAAAAATATAGTATTTTATTTCTACTCAAGATGTATAAATGCCTTAAGAAATAAAACAGCTCCTATAAAAGTTTAATAATACTGGCATCTTACTTATAACATCATTAATCAAATGTTCATTTCCCACTTTATAAAAAATAAAAATGCACTCCCTAAAGGGGTCAGGGAGTATATTTTCATTCTTTTGTTTTGAGAAACTAAATTTTCTCAGTCAAGAACATTTCTAATCACTTAGTTCTCTACTGATTTTTCACAGTGCTGATTCCACTGCAGAGGCTGGTTAGTCAATGAAAATAGTTTTTTGATCAATTAATATAAAAATTACCATTTGATATATAGAAATATTGACAAGTGTTATCGCAAATTCAAATTCAGAATTCATCATAAGATAGTTCTTACTTAGATGTTCCTTACTGAATACCAGGAATATCACATGCATGTGTGTGTATTTATCTTTTACATATGCTTAATTAGTTATATTTGTAAAAGCTTTGCACTTCTGCTAATTTAATGGAATAACCAGTTACATTCCATAGTTTAAACATGTCACTTAATTTCCATAGCTTCCATTTGGATAAATTGCCTCAATAATTTTGTTCAGAAAGGAGAGAAATTAGTTTACAGATCTTAATATCCAAGGCATTATATTTGTAATGTCAATGCCAGCAGGAATAAATGATTGAATTCAATAATACTATTATATATAGATAAGGCATAATAATTGCTAAAGTTTGCTTAGATAACTCAGAAAAGCATATGTTATAAATATATTTAAATTCCCATTTTAATAGTATTATCACAGATTTTTATTAACCAGCTACTCACAGATAACACTGTGGAATTTATTTTATTCCAATTATATTTACACAGAACCAGCAGATAACATATCCTGAGAAAACTTCATGGAGATGTATAAAAATACCTACTGAGGCTAAAGGAAAACAATAAAATGCATGAAGGCACCAGCAAAAGCAGAGGAAATATAATCATGATTGAACCTAAAAAAAACCACGTCATCCACCTTGTAGGCTTTAACTGCTCTTATCTTTTCATTGCACCTTGGGTATCACATGTGTGTCCAATTAACCAACCTCTTGAAAGATCAGATTTTCCCCACAGTACACACAATGAAGGGCTGTCTACTTCTGCCCTCCAAGCAGTCTTGACACAAGTACACACTGAAAAGGGACCAAATTGAATAGAAATGGACCAATCTAAAACTCCTCTTGACAACTGAGAATTGTTAACCCAATTAGCTACCATGTTTCAAGGGGTGCAAATGTTTTAAAGTACAATTTGAAAACCCAATACGTAAACTCTATCAAGGAAAACATGAAATCCTCTACCAATTAAAATATGACAGTGTGCAGCAAATGTCTCTGCATAAATGTTAAAATTCAGCTCTGCATCTTACATTACTAAGAGTGGGAGGCAGTGGTAGTAGAAGATCTGGGGGAGTAGTGTTTGGTTTTTGAAAAGAACAGTAAGAATTATCATTGGTTCAAAACTTGCTTCTTTTATTGTTCTTGTTCACGATCATTTAGAAGGAATTTGGAATCTAACTGAGCAAAATAAAG